CCGCCCCGGGCGGGCTGTGTCTGTCCCGCAGCGCGGAGCGCTCACCCGTGCAGGTGTTTCACTGAGCCGCACGACGGTTCGGGTCGAAGGGATTTTAGAGATCGTCCAGCTCCGACCTCCCTGCTATGGGCAGGGATGCCACCCACTAGGCCATGTGGCTCATGAGCCCCATCCAACACGGCTTTGAACACCTTTAGGAATGGGGTATATGACTTCTTTTTGGCCAACCTGTTTGAGTGTCTAACCTCTCTTTGGGAGCAGTGATGAGGGGGCTGGGTGGGTGTTCTTGGGATGCTGTAGGATGCCCAGTGAACTCTGTCTCTGCAGTTCTTGGAGCAGAAGTATGGCTATTTCCACTGCAAAGACTGCAAGACCAGATGGGAGAGTGCTTATGTATGGTGCATTTCTGGAAGCAATAAGGTAGTCAACAAGTCATTTTTTTTTTTGTTCCCAAGACTTTTAAGAATGGCACCAAACCTGTGCCAAAACACCTGATTTGTCACAAATTTAGGTACCTGTACTGAACACCTATAGTAACTGGAAACTTGCCTTTTCTCAGGTGTACTTCAAGCAGCTCTGTCGCAGGTGCCAAAAGGGCTTCAATCCCTATCGAGTGGAAGCAATCCAGTGCCAGGTAAGTTAACTGTATCCTAAGATTGTCAGAGGTTATCATATACAGTTACAGTTGCTGAATTTGATATTGACTTCATCTGGAAGAAAACTTGACTTCATCAAAATCCTAGGGAGTGTTATTTGGGCAAGGTGTAATAGGGTAGGGCTCTCCTCCTGTGGATGGCTTACATGAACAGGTTTCTGTTCATACAGTGTTATGGTTAGCTACACATAGGGTAGGGTTTGTGCTTCTAGGGGAGAAGGCTCTTACAGCTTAACTCTGCAGGGTTTTTACCACAAGAGCTGTTAGTGTATCAGCCCAAATGTGTTGGTGTGATCTAAGGAAAACTACATGTCAGTCTAATCTGAAGTGAGCACCTTTGATCTACTACTACTAACTCGCCTTGTTTCTTAAGTTCTGTTCAAAGATTCGTTGTTGCTGCCCTCAGAAGAAAAGACACATCGATGTCAAGAAACCTCATCGCCAAGAACTCTGTGGCCGCTGCAAAGGCAAGAAGCTGTCCTGTGATAACACCTACAGCTTCAAATACATTGTCTGATCCATGTGCCCTCTTCTGTTTTGTGCTTTGTACTCTGTCAGTCTTCTGCAATGTTTTGACTTGAGGCTTTTGACCTGGCATTGGATAATGGATAAAGACTTTTGCATTATTTATAAGTACATAACTTCATTGTACATATGATGTAAATATAGTTCAATAAAAGTCTGCACCAGTTTGATACCCCTTAGTTTCACCTTGCTTGGAAGGAAACAACCTGTTTGATTTCCTAAGGAGAGTAGGCTTTGGTTCTAGTCTGCCTTTAGGGAAAGGTATTATTCAAGCTGCAAGAGCAAGTTTTTTCTTCAGTCACTCAGACTGAACTAGAATGGAAGATGCAATTGTTCTGGAGCATAAGGTCTGGTTGTAAATGCATGTGCAAGTGTCTTCCCACTGCTTCTGTCAAATGTATGTTTAAAAAATTACAGCTGTTTGATAACTGAACTATATGCCAGAAAACTAGGGCATGAGATATGCGAGATAGGTATGAGAGATATGATATGAGAGAAAAATGTAATCTTCACATTTTCTAAGTGAGGAAGGGAAAAACTGGACTGGGAGTTTTGGTACTAGTGTAACAAGTTCTCTAGACTTAATGTATCCCAAAGGTGTAGAAAAGTCCCAGTGCCCATGGTTTAAATACAGGCCCATGTTTCAGAAGCTTTCCAGTCATATAAGGTATCTCCTGGGTTGGTGGCTTAAATGTACCTGAAGGCAGTAACTGAATGTGCATTCACAGAGACAAAATGCAGAGAACCAGCAGACTCCTAATTAAAGTACCGGTGTGGTAAAAGCACAATGGAGTGTTATTGGAGTTCATGCCATCTTAGAGTAGAAATGAGTATATTCCCAGCAAAGCCTCACTGATATCCTATTTAGTTTTGAAATGATGCTAAAAAGCTAGATGGTTACACCATAGGTTTTGTTGTGTCTGTGAAGGATCATAGGATTTGTTAGGGTGGAAGGAACTACTGGAGGTCTTCACAGTCAGTAGAAGACCAATGAAACCACTTTCATCTTTGTATCCTTCCAAGTTGAGCTGTAGCTACAGACTGACAAAAAAATCCTTACATCTTTTCACTGTTTGCTTTCAGTGTAATGAATGGTTTCAGCATAAACGATGAGAAAGTTGTCTTTTGGGGACTGCTAATCAGGGATACCATGGATTCAGATAACACAATCTTCACAACAAGCACATATTCTGTTGTGATTATATATGACTTCTATATTTTAGTTGAATGGATGTACTAATCCAAATTTCAAAGTTACTTCACAAAAACAGTAAGTGTATTTACAGTGTGAATAAGTTACATAGTTGTCAGAATAAAAGTGTCTCAGATGTGCAACAGATTTACATGCATACATTTAACACTGGACAGCAGTTAAATGTAAGAAAAATCCATATAGTTATGACTTTTATATATACATTACAAATAAAATAAGACATCTCTTTAAAGAAACTTAACATGAGAACTTGCATTTCACGTTAATATTTTTACTTTTTATACTCAAAATTTATATTAAATAAAAAATATGCATGCATAACAGTTCAAAAGATTTGACTTTGTGATGGGACTTTCTCCTACAAAATGGCAAGTTAAATTAGATCAACCATCCTTTGATAGTATAAATATACTCATAAAAGCAACCGTCTAGTAAAAAGCAGCCGAGGTCCTTAAAAAAAAAAAAAAGAAAATCTACCAAGACCATTCATGATGCTTGGGGGGCCTAAGAACAGACCTCTGCAATATGATCCAGTACCTTCAGAGACAGTAGCCTAGTAACATTAGGAAATGTACTTCATAGCAGCTCGTTGTTTTAAGATACAGTAATCATATTCAAATTACAGTGTACATTAAACTGTAGTCCATTTACAATTTGTTTCATATACACAGGCTCTCAGCTTGTGACCAACAAGTTTGTGAGATTCCGTGGCCAGCTTCATTCCGCCCATCTTTCACTCAACTAAATAAGAGAAAAAAAGGAAAAAATGTACAAGGTTTTTTTTTAACAAAAAAATACTATTTTGTGAAGGAAACATTGCACTTTTGCCAACCTAAAATTAATTTGCTATAAAGGAAGTATTGTTCAGTGTAGTAGGCTTTGGTATGCAATGGAAGTCACTTCTTCAGTAGTGAGTTGCAGTTGCTCAGTGAAATGCTAACTGATTTTTGTGCAACACAGAACAAAGGATGTTGTCCCAGATGCTCTATGCTACCTTTGTCCTTACAGTATTGCTACACATTTGAAGTTCAGCCCATCGCTTTTTAGAAGAAATCCTAAACGTAACAAGGGTGAGTACAGTTTGACCAAACCTTTGTAAGGCTGAGAAGACATTGAGCCACCTCACTCCCACAGGGCAGCACTCCCAGCTTGAAAGAGGACACAAGAGTCCTGTCAGAGACTTGTGCCGGAAACGCTGGACTCTGGAAGAAAAGTATTGATGACCCGATAGCTCTGAGCTCTGCGAATCATGTCGCGGATCTCTATGTTCAGTTCCATCAGTTTGGTACAGATTTCAGTCAGGCTTTGGTTGGAGCCCACCAGTGCATAGGTGCCTGTCTGACCCAGGGTTTGGTGGCGGAAGTAAATGTTCAGTAGTGTCTGGACTTCATCGTCAGAGCTACTTCCAAAGATATCATTGGGCCACAAAATCCTGCAATTGCAAACAGGAAAAGAATGTGCACGTCATTATCGGTATATTAGCACAGACAGAAGCTATGAGATCTCTAAAAGGAGCACAGACTCGCACCTGCTTACAAGCTGAAAGCAACTTACTGTTTTACACTACTCATTTGTTACTCAGACTCTGGTATCAGGCACTGAAATCACATACAAGCACAGCTCCTACTATCCAAAAAAAAGGCTGAAGAAAACTCAATCAAGTAAGTGAAACTGGGCTGAATGTTAGCTGATGCCAGTGACATGCACCTGTACGGAATCAGCTCTATAAAAAGATTAAGAGCCTCACAGGACTACATGTAATGTGCAGCACATTACACATAGTACAGAGTTAGGAAGATAATAAATGCATACTCTTCTAACAACATGAAAGTGTAGTATGAAACATGTAGCAAAACTTGCCTGCATTCTCTTATTTGTCGGACAGCTTTAACGAGTTCATTGTTCTTCAAACACTCCAGCATGGACTGAATAGCTGCTTCGGTAGAGTTGAATGTGGGCTCAGATTCTGCTGTTGGAGGCTCAGCTGCAATTGCAGCAGTAGCATCCTTCAAATTTTTCTTCAGCTCACTCAGTTCTCTTGACATATTTAATAGCTGTTCCAAGGAGAAAGGCAAGAGAAGGGTATTTTCATTCTCCATAGGCCCCAAAAGGAGTAGGTATTTCAAAGCTGTTCTTACTACTACACTGGGAAAGACCCCATTTTAACACAAGGACATTTCTTGATCGCTGTACAATCTAGGGACAATACTAACTACAGATTTTTTAACTTTGTGCTTCCTTTAACCTTATGCTGTAGTTTTGGTTTGCTAAAATGCAAAAGCACATCTAAACAGCTTTTATTTTTCTCCCTCTTTCACTACTTTTTTCACAGCAGAAAAGTTTGAAAAAACATATACTTCTCCTAGCAAGATCTTGTTATTTATTTACAAAACATACATAGGATCTGATATGATTAACAGATGGACAGGAATTGTATAACTCTTTGTCAGGCTGAAAAGTTAATATGGCACAAGATTCATAAATAATTAGTAAAGTAATTTCTAAGGATCCTTTTCATGCTCATAGATGCTAAAAATAACCACTGTCACATGAATAAACAATGGAACTTCCTTTAAACAAGCTTTAACACCTTATGGCTCCAGCAATATATGCAAATGTCATGGTGAAACAGGTATTCCTCATAAAATTGTTCCACAGTTCCCCAGGCTGGATTATATATAACAATCTAAAAAAGTTGTAACTGTGAAATACAGTTACAGAAATCAATTACCTAATAAGGAACACAAAATATTTCTAAAACTTAAGACTACCCTAGCAGTAGCAGACTAGACGCTTACTGTTCTGTCTTCTCTCAGAAGTGAACAGCCCAGGCACATTCTGAGCCAGCCCTCAGAACAGTTGCTTAAGATACAGAAAGTATTCAAACTTTTGTACTACTACAGCACATCTAACAAAACAAACCATTTCCATTTTTAAACCATCTCTGAACTACTAGAATCTGTCATAAAACACGTTATAACTTCAAATTTTGTTTTATAGAACAAATTACAATAACTTCTCCTCAATACTTTAAAATACATACACCCTACCAGGAAAAAAAATACTTATGGAATAGCAAGTTAAATCTTTCCTTAAATGATGATCATTCAACTTAAAGCGATCACCTCAAAGATATTTCAAAGTATTACATATTTGAAGCATGACATTGTGCTGTGTCAAAAATACTTTAAAAAAAAAGCTTGTAAACATTACTGGATTAAAAAGACATGACATTAAGGTATTTAGTTAATTATGCATGCCTACAGCCTTATATTCAGGATGAAATAGTGTAATCTTTGGTGTTAAGTCCACACAAACAAAAATAACATGAAAATAAAGTGGAATTTTTGGTATAAGACTTTATAGTTTGTTACATACCTCTGGCATAGAACTCACTTCGTGCACTTGTCCAATGAGTTTACAGTAGGACTGAAAAAGCAACAGCAGCTGGAAGTGCAGTTTATATAATCTCTGACAGAGTTCCAATTGCTAAGGAAAGATATGTAGGAAAAGAAATAATTAATAAATATCAGTGAGTAGAAATAATTTTCACTAGCAAATAAAACATATTGAGCTAGTTCTGTTCTCCAAAAGCATTATTTTACTGAAATATGATCATATACTATTTCAGAACATAAGTAATGATTTTTCTTCTGCAGGTAAGTCATATATGACATTGAAAATCAAAATGATGATGGCCAGCTCTCGTGTAGCACATGCCAGAATCAGTCTCAAAACAAGTCTAAATTGGTTAGCTTCACTGTCTCCAGTTTGTAGCTGGAAAGCAGAGACAGAATATGGGGGAAGTGACTTTGCTGCATAGGACATGAAACTCTACAACTTCAGACATGGCTGAAGACCTCTTCTGTCGGAATGGAAATCCAAGAGATAAGTACTTGTCCAAGAGGGTCAATGCTCCTGCCTGCTTCTCTGAGGCAACAGGAATAGAGGCAATA